GACCTTCTCCAATCAATAGTCATTTACAGACTATTTTACTTATTTTTTTTTCCCACTCATGAATCCACATTATCCATCAAAACATTCAAGAGTTTTTTTTTTTTACTTTTGAGCCATTGTCTCAATTTTACAACCTAAAATATTGTGAATGCTGATTCAGCATTTACACCATCGCTTTCCTGTTTCAGACTTTTCCATGTTTTATTTTTTTTTTATTTTTTGAATCCAACTCTGCGTAATTTGTGCTCATTTAGTTATTCATCTATCACAGCATTCAGCTCATTCAGGAGCTGGATGTTCTGATTTTTTAATATTTTATTTTGTTTTTTGTAACTTTCATGCTGTTCAAATGATTAAACCTTTCGCAACTTTCAGCTTCTAGCTACTGTTTGCTTTTATCTTTTAGCTAAAGGCCCTGTCACACTATAATGTTTTAGACAACTCATGAAAWTTTTAAAGACAGCTACATTGATGAAATTAAAAAATCAACTAGAAGCCTCTTTTAGGTGTGTAGCATTCAGTAATGCTAACAAATTGATCAGATATATAAGTTTTATTAGTAATTTAGACATAGAAAATCACAAGTTGGCATAAGTTGTCTAAAAATTTATGGTGTAACTGGGCCACAATTTGGATACCTACATCTAGCTTTTAACACTTTAACGTCCATATTGTCTTTTGATAGTTTTTAGCAAGCCTTTTGATATRTTTAGCTAGCCTTTTGATAAGTTTAGCTAACCTTTTGTTAGTTTTTCCTTTATTGCTTCCTCGTTTGCTACGTTTGCTTACTGTTTTGCCACTTATAGCTAATTATTTGACACTTTCAGTTAGTTTTATGCAAGTTCTACTTCATAGTCTTTTGCTTCTTTAAACCTTTAGCTACTATTTTGCTACTTTTACCTTTCACATGTCTTTTGCTATATTTTTCTTTTTAGAAAACCTATTGCTAATATTAACTTTTAGTTACAATTTTGCTATTTTTAGCTGGTGCTGTGCTTCTTGTAGTTTTCAGTCTGTAGCTCTCTTTAAGTTTGTGTTTTGATATATTTTTCAGCTTTAGCAATTTGGTTTTAGCTCCTTCAACAATTTCACCAGTCATTCAGCGCACAGGCTTCATTCACCAGTTATTGTTTAAAGTGTCTTCACCTTTAACCATGATGCTGTTAAAGGAGACTGTGTGGAAAGTTTACCATAGGGGCTGTCAAGCCCACATTCTCTGTGGGGCTCAGCAACAGATTTACATTTAGAAATATGACTCAGTGAATGCACTGCAGCCAGGGTGTTCACTCATTCACATCAGGACAAAGGTTGGAACAGACACAACAACACACGGCTGTGGTATTTAAAGCACTGAAAGCCTGCAAATTGTGTTGCAAGAAAATATGTTATGAATATTTAACTCTGCTATTCATCCTGTTCCCAGAAGACTGAGGAGCTCYTGGATTGATTGGACAGCGTTAATTACTCAAGTATAAATTATTTAGCCTCTAAAYGATTGAGTGAAATAAAAACGTCTGTGGTCAATAACTCCTAACAGTTGAGAAGACTTTGGGCTCCCTGTGGGGGGATTACAGAGCCAGTGATGGGTTTTCAGTCTATAGGCCAAAACAGAAAATGACACCGGAGTTAAATCTTTAGCTGGCACGCTGAATCAGCAGCTCAGACCACTGACTGCTTCACGTCTGCAGCATTGATCGATCACACTGAGTGATCAGGAGGACAACAGGTAGAGTATTCTAGTTTGGATAAACTTATGTTAAAATGTGTTTGTTTTTGTCAAATGAAGAGTGTGTGCTTTGATGAAACACTGTATATTCATTCTTTAGCATCCATCCATCCATCCATTTTCTGTACACGCTTCTTCCTTTTCAGGGTTGTGTGGGTCACTGGTGCCCATATCCAGCAGTCACAGTGCATTCTTTAGCAGTGATGTTAAAATACTATGTACTCATTTTCATCAACATTAAGAAGCAAAATGCCTGAAACTATAAAGCTTTCACAAAGAGGATTTGAGCGTGACTGCAGATGTGTTATCTTTAGTTTATGATTTCTGGGTCTGATTGAATCAACTTGTCATGTTTTTGTGTTCAGCTTTTAATTTATCTCTGGTTTTAGCTGTTTGATTGATTCCCCTTTGTTCGATTGTTTTTTTTTTTTCATTTCTGAGCAGCTTACTTGTTTTGAAAAAATAAAAGATTTCCTTTTAATTTTGTCAAAGTTTTTTTTTGTTGTTGTTGTTTGTGACTCTTATTGTGTGAAAACTGTTTTCTTCAGTTTCTTCTGGACATCATTTGCATCTAACTATTAAAAATTTAATAAACTTTAACAAAGTGAAGCTTATTCAGCGCTCAGTGTTCACATTGCATTTTTACAGGACATTTCTCTGGTTCAGGTCTATCCTTCGTGTTGTTTTCTGAAGTAAATTTTTAATTTTTAAAGCCTGTTTTGCTTTCCTTGCAGCCGTGTCTGTTTGTTTTTCTGCTTCTTTGTTGTCTAGTTTTGAGTACTTTCTGCAACCTGCTCTTCATTTTATGATTATTCTTATTTTTAATAATGTTTCTTGTCATCTGGCACTTGCTTCTCGATTGTTTTCTTGTCAATTTTACCTTAAGGTTCAGGTAWTTTGTTAGTTTGTGTGTTTTTGTCTTATTAAGCAAAAGCCTCTGAAATCACCTGCCTGCTGCCTCTGTTGTGTCAGTATTTGGTCTCTTTTCCCACCACATACTTTCCAATATAACACACACACATGAAAAAATCCCAGTGTCCTGTTGTCAAAAACTCTAATTTGAGAATAAACAGCAAGGTCTTCTCTAGATTAATCCATGATGAGAACTATTTAAAGAGGAGGCTGAGAAGTTGAGCAATAGGATTTTAAAATCAATATGTAATTTATCAGGGAGCCATTTCTAGGATGGAAGCAAAGGAGTGATGCCTTCGTATTGTTTTATCCTGGAATTGAACCAACCTGTTCTGTTTTCAACCAACTGAAGATGGTGGAAAAAGATGAGAAAATACAGCTGGGAATAAACAAACAATTAAACAAATTACAAGTCATGTAGCTGAAAGAAAAGTCTGGATTTCTGTGATTGTTTTCAGTTGGAATAAAAAAAAAGCATCAAAACTGGGATTAAAATTAAATATATTTGCATTAAAAGCTTCTTTTGCATTGTTCTAATATTAATTTCACCTCTGCCTCAAACCTGCCTGTTTGAGGTTCTCACCGAGGTGTTTGGGCTCCATCTTGTGGTGTAAACTTCACAGCACACATAGTGAACATATTCTTGTGCTGGAGACTTCCATCTTCAGTTAATGATCTGACTTTGTCAACTACTTCAATAATTTTAATTACAATAGACTCTCAGATGATTAAAAGGTATAAGGAAAAAAGCCTTTCTTCGACCTGCTGAGGACATGTAAAGGATTAAAAGGAAGATTTACTAGAATCTACTAGTTTCCTATAACATTTTACTATTTTGTAATAAACTGAATATGATTTGATTTGACTTTGATTCTTTGTAATATGATGTGAATGTTGAAGTTGTTGCTGTTTTGTAAATTCTCTTGGAATTGTATGTCATGAACTGAATAAAGTGTAAATGACTGAAAGTTTGAGTTTTGTGTTTAGATTTCTTCAGATGATGACGTCCATGTTTGAGCCAGAGCTTGTGTACGCTCTGTAGAGACATGAAAAAAAAAAGATCAAACAAAATTGGATTATTTGGCTTCATGACCCACTTTTGTTGACGACATGATCTCTGTTTCCAAGAATTAACAGCCAAAYGCTCTTTTCTCTTGTTTCCTAATTAAATCAGAGGCTCCCATCAAGTAGCAGTGTGGCTTTAGGTTACACAATGACATTGTTTTTTTTTCTGGATAATCTAAAATCAGCAGTAGAAATGTACAGGAAGCTTTGTTGATCACAATGAAATGGATTTAATGTTAGCGAAGAACACAGTGAAGCTAGTATTTTCAAACAGGTCAAATAGAATCGATTCACCTGCAAGTTATTCTGAATTATTGGAGTAATTATTTGTGGTTATGGATTGGCTCCATATATGGTAGCTTCATATTGAGTGCTGATGGGAAAAAAAGCAGTTTGCTGAAGGGAATTTTAGAGATTTTGCATGAGAAAATATTTTAAGTTAGTTTTATCATTTTATTCCATAAACCAAATTAGACACCATCTTCTAAAGTCCAGCATGAATAGCAGTTAATTCATGATTCATTTTAGACTTTATGTTGTCTGATCTTTACATAATTACACATCTGTTAAACTGTGATATATAAAGATCCAGCTTTCCTCAAAGAACATTTTTCCCTTTCCTCCTTTCATGCCAGAGTTTTAAATTAAAACCAGTTTTTGTTAGTTGGAGTTCTATCCATTGCAGTCAAACCTTATCAGTGACCATATTTATTAAATCAATCAACCACAGTTGATTGATTTGGGATTCTAGATATTCTAGATTCTAGGATAACTCCCAAAGTAATTAAACTGTAGCTGCACATCCAATGATCCTTTTCTGAGGTTTTCAATAACATCCATCAACAGGTTCATGACATGTGAACCAGTGGATGGATGGATACAGACATAAACACAAACAGGCAAAAACATTATCGCCTCTCACCTTCAGCATAAAAAGCAGGTCCAAATTAGTCGATGCCTCGGGGTTCACGTTAAGCAGTGCAGTGTTGAATGCCATCGTCTTGAATGGATTTACGAAGGGGAAAAAGGCAATTAATCCACTGAAACTTCATTGTAAAACTGTGGAAAATACTGTGGTTTTTTTAAAGGAGTATTAAGTACACTATCACTGTCAAATGTAATTTTATCCTGAACTAAACATAAAAATAAGTAAGTCATACCAACAATACACTAATTTTATACAGAAAATATTCACTTATGTGCTGGTCTTTATAGTCTGTGATGCCAAATATTCTAAATCTTCTAATGTTAACACATTTTTATCAACTTAAAAAACAAACTGTTTTTCAATAAACACTTTACTTTCATTAGATCATTTATTACAGATGTACAAAACAGTGCAGATGACTGCAAGTCTGAGTAAAAAAATCAGCTCAAAACTCTGTTGCCATGCATTCATTTTTACAAAAAGAAAAAAAAGAAGCTACTTGGCTCAAAATAATTTATAATATTTCAAGCATTACGTTTTTCCTCAAACTCGGCAAAATCTGTGCAAAATGTGCAGCATTCGGATTGAGATGACTAAAAAACAATGGTGTTTTTGACCCAAACATAAACAAAGGTGCTTTGTTAAACTCTAGCACAGTTTCTTTAAGTATTTGTAATGTAAATTTATTTAAAACTAAAACATGATGGGATAATAAATAAATGAGCAACACAGGAAATGTGGGGTGTAGAGCGGTCCCTGCTGCTTTCTGGACTCATTTCCATATCAAGAACAGCGTATCAAAGGCGGCCCTCCAACCGGGGCTTGGATTTGATGTGGTAAATCATATAAGTCTGCAATCAATATTTAATTAAGAGTTTGACGCAGAGGATATATATTTCATGTTGGCTGTAGGATTCCTTTTAATGGGGAAGCAAAGAGTTACTGAGCTGGAATGCCAGGGAGGAATCAATTTGCATCTGCAATGATTGAGTAGAACACAGCGTAATTTTCTCTCGCTCGACCTCCCTCCTTCCCATCTTCACTGACAGACCGACACTTCTTGAAAGATCCTGAGAAATATGAGAGCGTTTCAATTTCCGCGGCGACTCCRATTTGTCTCCTCAGAGGAACACACGGCCATCAGTCTTCGTCATTTCTCTCCGTGTCTGACATCATCATCATTGACGCGCAACTTTTCTGAATCCATGCAGGAAGTGGCGGGCGTTGTCTAACCCCGGCCCCTCAACGCGACACCCCTCACACATTCAAGTATAAACAAGAAAACACAACAGGAATGAGGGCAAATCCACAGTGTCAAAGGTAAAGCAGAAAGCAAAGAGCACACAGAGCCGGTTTGTAGTTACCGTAGTGCTTCCATCTTTTTTAAAGTGCCTGTTGAATTGGGTTTGAGGTCAGTTCAAAAGCATGAAAACACTATTTGATTTTGCAAAGATATTTAAAAAATAAATACATAAAAGCAGGAATAAAAAGGCAATAAGGCATGGCACATTTTGGCATTTTAACTCAAACATGGTGCCTTAAGGAAAATGCAAAATAATTACCCAACAACTGTACAGTCAGTTAAAAAAATGATGCATTATGTACAACAGTTTTTGTTTGTAAGAAATGCTTCAGGTCAAACCCTGGGTATCATCAGTCCAAAAACACACAGGGTACACATGAGCACTCGGAAATGATGCCACCTCTCCTGGCTGGAGTAAAGAGTTGACCACTGCTGCAGCATCAAACTCACTGCAGATGTGAAGCCAGGCAGACAAAAGGAACAAAAATCTGAAGAAAAGAGGAAGACTGAACAGAATGCTGGACTCCGTTCTTGATTGTTCCAGCGGCTTAGCTCCTATTTTCACAATCAATAACATTTGTTCTGATCATCAATCGGGGCGGAGGCGGAGAAGAGCAGGTTTTCAATTCTCACATTCTTCCCCTTTAATGACTCAACAGCGCCAAGGAAAAGTCAACACTCAGAGGAGACGAGATAACCAAGGCTGACGGAGCCTCTGTTATGAGACGGCTATGACTCAGTCTGCTCATCACCCACAGGTGGAAACCAGATTCACACTCGGCTGCTTTCTCCTCTACGGGGAGCTCAGCTTCCTCACCTTCAGGTTCACTGGGTCTGTGAGACAAACACACGGGCTTAAGGAAATCAGAAGATGACTCAACACAGACATCCGTGACTTTTCTTTACCTCCTAATTTGAGGGAGTGCTCTCGACTGTTTCCTAGAATTATCTGCAGGCTGGGAGCTGCGATGAAACCCTCCTGCTGCCGACACAGATTTTTCACCAGCCTTTCCAGCAGGATGGCAGAAGAAGAGATGGCAGAAGGGAAACATTTGATAAATGAACTCCAGGTTTGTTATCTCAAGGTTTCACTATTTTACTCTAAAATCAGACCTGATGAAGCAACCGTTACTGCACAATGTTCCCTTCTTTTTATGTAGAGACTGTAACTATCCTCGGTAGAGACATTTACTGATCAAATGTGATTAAAAACTCACCAGCGCCCCCTACTGTCTTCACACAGAAGGTGGATGAAGTCTCCAGATTTGATGGTGATGCTGTCTGGTCCATTCTGGGGACAGTCAGCCAAAGCCCTGTACCTCCCTGGAAACTAACACAGTAAAGTATTTTAATGGGCAATATCATGTAAAATCAACTTTTTTGAGTTTTATATCATGTTATAATATTATATTCTCATAAAAAACATGCCCAAAGCCTTGCTTTGACTCATTCATGCATGTTTGAGAAATCCTGCAACGTTTTTAGGCAGCCATGCTGAGGAGCAAAATGACAGGTGGGGACCAGAAACGCCCCTGGGACGTGTCTTTAAGCCGAACTTCCTCATGGCAGAGCCCCCCACCCCCACCCCCGCCCATGACTCCTGCAGGCTCTCGGGTGAAGCTGAAAGTGAAACTTAAACTGTCTGCTGAGCTCCTACGACTAGTTCGCACTCAGTGAAGCTCTTTTCAGATTAAAAATACCTTTGAGGAAATGTATTTTCAGATGCCAAGTAAACTGCATCATAGCACCTCCCCTCCCCCTCACCCCTGCACTGAAATGGGTGGGACAGAAGCGGAAGGAAGGTGGTTCTTAAAGAGACAGAGGCCAATTTCAAGGCGTTTAGAAGAGGAAGTGATGAGAAGATAAGTTTATTTTCTATTTAAACATAAAAACAGCATTTTAATAACTGATAAAGGTGACATAGATACTTTATTATGGTATAGTATTTAAAAGTATGCCTAAGAAACACATAATATTGCCCCTTTAAAAAGGATTATTTGTCTACTTTGTAAACCTGGGAGATTTTTTAAGTTTCTGTGTACAGCTTGTTTATTATCTCACCAGTTTCAGAAACTGTTTCTCCTCCGTCTCAGATGGGTGGAATGTGTCCTGATCTCCAGCCCACTCCTCCAGACCCTCGCAGGTGTCGGCGGACTGATGAGCTCCGGGCCAACCTGGGACACAGATACTGCCGTTAAAGAAGCTCAAACATGGGCTCTCTAAAACACTTCCCCTCAAAAAGACCTGTGTAGATACTTAGTAACAATGTCAACATTCAAAGGGCCCCTTCGTCACTTACTGGGAAATTAACAAGAACGTGGAATCAAATGCTAATCTCAAGAGCTGGACCTTTTTCCCCCAAAGTCCTCGATGTACCTGGTTCTTCAGGTCAAAGTACACCTGAACCGCTGAGGGTGGAAAGTCAAATATCTAAATTAGTTGATGATTGCAAAGTAAATCAGAGCTGCAGAAGTGTGCGAAGCACGTGTGATTTGCGTTCATTTCTGATTTTGTTACTAAGTATCTACGTGATTAGACAACATAAATGACTTTTACTCACTCCTACGGTTGGGCTGGTGGTGTTTGGAGGAGTGAGGCTGGGGTTCTGGACTGCTCCTCCCTGACTCGGTGTCTTCTGAGCTCACTGACGCTCTCTGCTGTTTGCTGGGAGAGAAACAAAATAAACAACACAACGTGGTCACAAACGACACGCTCAGGATAGACACTGCCCTCCGTCATAAAAGCTGGGATTTGTTTATGAATCTGATTTATAAAAAAAAAACATGGACCCAGATCCATGTCGAGAACAAATCCATCCCAAAGTCTCTTACATAGCCACAGCCAGTCACCACAGAACACAGAGCAGCCACTTGCAAGCTTCTCAGTCCGGGTTTGGAAACAGAATCTACAGGCCACCAAAACGATGATCATAAAGGAACCGCATGTGTCAAAAACTAGAAAGATCTGGTCTCGATTTATTAGAGATTTGATCCTTTGTTTGTTATTTGGTTTAATAATGGTGGATGTTCTGGAAGATTGTCACAAATTTTAGAAACACCTAATTAGATCTCAAAAACGAGCCCCATCTTGAAGCAGAACTGCCATGAGGAAATTAAGAAAATTCGTGGAATGAAACAAACTCTTTTGTTTTCTGCTTGAATTTCATGCAAAATAGCAATAGATGCAGAAATAAGGGGTTGTTATTTGAAACCATGTTAGAAAGCCATGGATGTGTTACTGAGGTACTGGGGTTATGATCTGCAATGAAGGCCAGACATTTAAAAAATAACAAAAAAGGGGGCGTGGCTAGCTGACGATCAGTCAGCAAACACAGCAGCTGGATGTGTTTTTGGTCCTCATGCCGTGACGAGGTGAGGCGGGCCGCGCCAGGCTGAGTTTACCACTGAGCGTTACAGCAGGTCAGTGGCGCTGGGAGCAGCGGGGACGCGGCCGGGGTCGTTGCCGGGGGCTCCGGGGACGGGGGCTCCGGGTCCGCAGGCACACAAACACGTCAGCTGACAGGGAGACAAAGTCCAGTCCCGGCAGACAGCCCCTGGGAACCCCTCTGGACGGCCGCATGCCCCTGCAGGTGGGGGATTCGGAGGAGTGGGGATAGGCAACTAGACAGCAAACATGAACAGAGAGGGCCTTGTGCCCGTCGTCAAACACCGCCACACACACAGCCTCCAAACAGAGCAACATCATATTGAATGTTACTGAATGTTTTTTGTTGCATAGATCTGTGTATCTGTGTGTCCGTGCTACTATAACCTATAACCATGCTCCTAACACACAACAGAAGATACTGACCTCTCCATGAGGGATGGAGAAAGCTGCATGTGTTCAGCGACTGGACCGTGTTGATATGCTTCATCTAAAAAGAAGAAGAAGAGGAGGTCTCAGACACCACTGCATGAGATGCACCATGTTAAAGTGATCAGTGCCTTCAAAAAGCACTGGTGCCAACAAAGTTCACTGCACCATCCAAAACTGTGACCTTAAAGTGCCTGTGATGTCAAATTTTTGTAATACATTTGAACGCATTTTTAGAAAGAGGACATCAATAAAATATTGCAAAATAAATTTCATGTCGCTGAGATGAACAGTTGTTGAGATTTTTGCCTGTCAAGTAACAGGAAGTGATGTCAAAGGGGAATGTCTGCATGTGAACAGAGTGTTGCTACAACAGCCAACAACCCAGACTGTAGAGAAGAATCTGATGTTTCTTAAGATTATTTTGAGTGACTATCAGAGAGAGATGAAGAAGTGTCAGAGTTCAAATAATATTGTTTCAATAAAAAAGACCAGAGAGTTTTCTTTGTTGAAGAGTTCCCCTTTGATGTCACTTCCTGTTTCACTTTGGCTGAGTCAAATTCAAAAGAAAATATGCCAGTTATGTGACAAAATGGGTTAAATCGCGCGTGTTGTTCAAACTTTCTTAAATATAAGATGTTTTTTTTTTGATGATATGTGTTTGAAGAATATGCATGTCACAGGCACTTTAACTGCATTACGCAAACTACACCATGTCTAACATCTCTGCTCATTTCAGAAGGACAAAAAGACATTAAACAGATGTTAAGTAGACTGATAAGTTCATGTTTAAGCTTACTTTCCAACTTTTTGCGAAATACGAAATAAAATTTTACAAAAAGTTTGTTTGAGGTCTGCCCATTCCACATGTTTGCATATATTTTGTTGAGCACAGACCTCTGAGCAGCTTCTGTTGGTTGGTCAGAATTCGTCGGAGCTCGTTGAGCCAGGCCATCTTCACCTCCACCGACGGGGCCTGAGACACACCAACCACAGCGAAGGTTGAAAAAGTTGTATTGATTATAAAACTTTCCACACATGTTGCCTGTACAAAAGAGATGGGYGACTGGCGGCTCTGAAATTAAGCTTTGAAATATGGATGCATGATGTATTGGCTTTAACATCGGTATCGGCTGATGTTAGTCATTTTTTTAGAACATCGGAATCGATCCGATAAGTAAAACTGGGCCGATATTAACATTCAGTATTGATTTCCCATTTTTTAGCTTTGTGCTTGTGTTTTGGGAGGGGAAATGGTTGGTCGAACGGTATCTGTTTGATCATGATAGAGATAACGCTGCAATCTGGTCATTTTTTACAGTATCGAAAAAAAGACAGTATATGTACATAAATAATGTGTGTTTGTGTAATATTGTAAATATCAGTTATCAGCTATAACACCAAAAATAATATCAGATATCGGCTGAAATTTTCATATCTGTGCTACCTACTTTGAAAATTACAAAAACGTATAAACGTGTCTCTACGGAACTGAATTTGCCACTAGATGGCACCATCTATGCAGACACCACCTCGTGCACACGTCTTCTCTACCACTGAGGAAGAGACGTAGCCTTGGTTAAAAACAGAGGGAAAACAGGTGAAATAGGAGACGGACATTCTGTTCACAGAATTTCAAGACAAACGTGTATTTAGTCTGTTTAGCGCTGCTGTCTGCCATGAAGGATTTTATTATAAGTCGCCACTACAACACGTTGCACAAAGCTGAATACGAGAAGTTTACTGAAGGCACAAGTACATAAACAGCAATGTCTTACCAGAACCACACAGGAGTCAGATTTCAAGCCGCCTCAGGGCGTTGAACTTTAGCTCGCTGAAGTAAGCATTTATTTTTTGTTTGCTTCAAACGTTTTGTATTTATTTGAGCCTGAAATATGTGTGTTGCTGCACTGTATGTTGGTTTAACATATAGAAACATTTTTAAATTGGCAGTTTTATTACATTTGGGTAAGTGCGCACTGCTATGTGGTCCTCTGATGGTGTCAACAAAAAATTATGGCCACTTCTATCATTTAAGTTGGCCATCACTGCTTTAAAGTCAAAAGATTAAATGCTATCTTTGGAGAAGAATCACCTATTCTACAGATAGATGTTAAACTAATGAACATTTTTAAAAAAGGTTTTTGACTGATCAGTAAATCCAAACATTTAGTAGCCTAAATATCAGCACATTACTGTAYGTCACCCTCTTACCTGAACTAAATAAACCTCCTCTCTGCCGCTGTACCAGATCTCAAACTTCTTCACGTCTCCCTTAACATTCTCTGTGATCCCCACTGCAGTCATCTGCCATGAGACAAACACACAGCCATGAACACACCAGTTACATCACATCACAAAACACATCTGCTCTGCCCTAACTCAAAAACCATTAGCTCTTTTCACACGCCTCCGCTGTGTGACTGCTTCCTTCCAGCATCCTGAATAATAAATCAAGAGCTGGAATTACAGCCGAGGCACCAGATGCGACGTCCCGCTCATTAACGAATAAAACAAAATGTCAAAGGAGCACATCAGGTTCTGTGACCTGCTGAGCAGCTTAAAGGTGTTGCTCCAGGAACAGCGCTGAGAATATCAGCTGCAAGTTGCCTGTAATTATTCTGTTCACCAACAAACTCTGAAAACACACCATGTTAGTGATGTGCTAGGTTAGTTCCCCCGTCTTTTCTGGAATCGAAACCATTCAGAGGGGGGAAAGTGCTTTCAAGAATTATTTAAAATTAAGTGAGAAAGATTTTATCTGCAATCACAAGTGCACACAATGTATTTCATGGGAGTTCATATTTTGACTCAAAGTGGTTTAAAAAACTCTTTTTTGTTTTGTTTTGTTTTATTGATGAACAGGCACAGTTTTTTTTTATTCTAAGCTTGAAAATGTGTTTCCTTTCAGGCTTTGTGCTTCAAAAATACAAATTACAACACAATTATGAGACTAGTTGGTTTTAAAATGCAACAAATTACAGATATTTTATTATTTTAGGTATTTCTCACAAGTCAGAATCCTGAATTTCTGAGTAAAGTAGTTTTTATTAAGTCTGTGATTTTTCTCTATATAATAAGCAGCTGAATAAAGATCTAATCCCACTGTTTTTGTGTCAGATGTATTAGTAAGAGAGTTGTTTCCTCCGCCTGCGTTCCACAGACTGACCTTCAGACAGTGCTTGAAGCTGTAGGAGGAGGTCCTGACGCTGCTGTCTGCATGCTCCTCTCTTCGTTTGCACAGCAGCAGAGCTTTCTCATACAGGAAGAAGTGCCGCTGCATCGGCTTGAAGCGAGCCAGCTCCTTCATGCGCGTGGCCCCCCTCTTATGGCTGATCCACACACTGAAGGACCCCTGCATCAGAACCCGGCCCAGCTCGCAGATGTCACCCTGCGTCAGACGACACACTTTTATTGCTGCAGTTACATAGGTACATTCACTGAATATTAGTTAACGATGATTTAAATGGAGAACAAGGTCGTTTTTTTCCCCCCACCTCGTATCCTGTGATGGCAATCTGATGCATGGAGTCGTTGACTGATTTGAGCAGGTCCAACATGGTTGTCAGCGCCCCCTGCAGCTCAGACGTGCCCTCGCAATCTGGGCTGTATTTTAGCAGCTCCTAAAAAAAATTACATTCAGCACATTGTCAAACAAACAAAAACATTTATACAAAGCAATATAGAAGGTTGTTTAAAGTCATGAGTCATGTTTTCAGCTGCTATGCTTTACCTGAATTGCAAATCTAAGGTTAGTTTTAGAAAAAACACAAGTTATGACGTTCTAACCTTGAGCAGCAGCTGGTATTTGGTGAGACGCTGAACCGGTTTCAACAGGTAGGAATCCAGGCCCAGTTTGTGCTCCAGCTTCTTCTGACACTCCTTCACGCAAAAGACAAATTGAAGCAAACTGTAAGTCCTGATTCTTTAAAACAAACCAGTGCTTCACTTCTAATGCGCTGGAAATTATCAAAATTGGTAACATTTACCTGAAAAAAAGCACAGTTTGAGAACTGTCTCCACAGCGCTTCAGAGTGTAGTTTATTCTGACAGTACCGTTCATACATCTGAAAACTTCCTTTCTGGGGAGACAATTAAAACAGGGAATAAAATAATAAAAAATAATAATAATAAAAAATAAAACACAAATGATGAATAAATTACCAAAAGAAACTGAAATAGAAATCCTGAACTCACCCGCTCAAGAAAGCAAGCTCCAACGGTTTCAGGAGCCTCAAGGCATCCTTCCAGGTCCTGAAGAAAAACCCTAAATTAACAAGAAAAAAAAAATCATCAAATAGCTAAAAAAAGGAAAATACTATTTTCAACACAGAAACTGTGGAAAATAATACCTTTATGATGTAAATATAACTGTTTCTTGTGACTTTAAGGTTTGATTAGACATTATTTTTTACCAGCAGACTTTTACCTACATTTTTTTCTAGCTATGCTTTTTAAATTAAAAAAAGAATCAAATAAAAAAGGCAATTTAAGAAATACACATATTTCACTGATGCACTTTTGTCAAATTCTTGTTCTTGCAGTGTTAAAATATGTTTGTATGTTATTGTACATATTGTTGTAATGTATGTTTTTGTTAAAGAAATATGAAATTGTGTAATGTATATCAAAGTTGTTTGAGAAGGAATTGAAGGTTTTGTTTTGTTTCTAGATTATTATTGCCTGAAATTAATTATAGAAAAAAGGGGCAGATATAATATTTTTTCTTCTTTCTGCCTCCTTTCATTTCAATTTGGATTTGATTTTTTTTGTTGTTGTGTATTTTTTTGTTTTTAATGTGCATAATTTTTTTGTTTTTTGTTTTAAATTAAATGAATAAACTAAACTAAACTAAAATATGAACAATTGAGTGACAAACTGTTCCTGTACATTCCAACGGGTCTCTTTGAAAATAAAATACCTGCTGTGGAAATTGAAGATCTCGGGCATGTTCCCAAAGAGAACGTCTCTCTTACTTCGAAGAACTGGAGGTAGAAGAYCCGACAGAGCTGGGTTGTCCATTTCAGCCCTGTAACCCTGTTATAAATCATACCAGATGTGAAATATCATATAGCATATACAGTGGTTTGCAAAAGTATTCATACCCCTTGAACTTTTCCATATTTTGTCACATTACAACCACAAACAAATATATTTCACTGGAATTTAATGTGAAAGACCAACACAAAGTGGTATACAATTGTGAAGTGGAAGCAAAATTTTACATGAATCAAAACATTTTTTACAAATAAAAAACTGAAAAGTGCGATGTGCAAAATTATTCAGCCCCCCTGAGTCAATACTTTGTGGAGCCACCTTTTGCTGCAATTACAGCTGCAAGTCTTTTAGGATATGTGTCCACCAGCTTTGCACATCTAGTGACTGCAATTCTTGCCCATTCCTCCTTGCAAAACAGCTCAAGCTCAGTCAGATTGGATGGAGAGCGTTTGTGAACAGGAGTTTTGAGATCTTGCCACAAATTCTCAATTGGGTTTAGGTCTGGACTTTGACTGGGCCATTCTAACACATGAATATTCTTTTTTTTAAACCACTCCATTGTAGCTTTGGCTTTATGTTTAGGGTCGTTGTCCTGCTGGAAGGTGAACCTCCGCCCCAGTCTCAAATCTTTTGCTGACTCCAACAGGTTTTCTTCCAAGATTGCCCTGTATTTGGCTCCATCCATCTTCCCATCAACTTTGACCAACTTCCCGGTCCCTGCTGAAGAGAAGCACCCCCAGAGCTGAGGTGCTGCCACCACCATATTTGACAGTGGGGATGGTGTTTTCAGAGTGATGTGCAGTGTTCTTTCTCCGCCACACATAGCGTTTTGCATTGTGGCCAAAAAGTTCAATTTTGGTCTCGTCTGACCAAAGCACCTTCTTCCACATGTTTGCTGTGTCCTCAACATGGCTTCTGGCAAACTGCAAACGGGACTTCTTATGGTTTTCTTTTAACAATGGCTTTCTCCTTGCCACTCTTCCATAAAGACCACATTTGTGTAGTGCACGACTAATTGTTGTCCTGTGGACAGTTTCCCCCACCTGAGCTGTGGCTCTCTGCATTTCATCCAGAGTCACCATGGGCCTCTTGGCTGCCTCTCTGATCAGTGATCTCCTTGTTCGGCCTGTAAGTTTAGGTGGACGGCCTTGTCTTGGCAGGTTTACTGTGGTGCCATACTCTTTCCATTTCCGGATGATGGATTGAGCAGTGCTCCGTGAGATGTTCAAAGCTTGGGAAATCTTTTTATAACCTAAGCCTGCTTTAAACTTCTCCAAAACCATATTCCTAACCTGTCTGGTGTGTTCTTTGGACTTCATGATGCTGTTTGCTCCCCAATATTCTCTTAACCAACATCTGAGGCCGTCACGGAGCAGCTGTATTTGTACTGAGATTAGATTACACACAGGTGGACCCTTTTGAGTCATTAGCAGTCATCAGGCAACTTCTGAATGCAATTGGTTGCACTCAGGGAAAAGGGGGCTGAATACTTTTGCAYGTCGCACTTTTCAGTTTTTTATTTGTAAAAAATGTTTTCATTCATGTAAAATTTTGCTTCCACTTCACAATTGTATACCACTTTGTGTTGGTCTTTCACATTAAATTCCAGTGAAATATATTTATGTTTGTGGTTGTAATGTGACAAAATATGGAAAAGTTCAAGGGGTATGAATACTTTTGCAAACCACTGTAAGCAGATGTTAGCTAAAACCTAAAAAAGGAGCATAATTGAATTTTTATTTAAGCTAATTGGATGTTTTGATACCAGCAGCACTGACAGGAGCTCGTCCACGTAGATCCTTTCAGTTTCAATGAGTTCCCTCATCACATGACTGAGACCCAAACGCAGGCAGACATGAAAATAGACAACCAGAGGCCGTTATTAGCACTGAGCAAAGAGAACCACAGAGTAAAYGACATGAGAAGCAGCACTGAGGACAAACAGAAGCCTCCTCCTCACCGCTTTAATAAATCCGGGCTGTCGTCTCCGTCCAGACTGTAGGACACACAGCTCCGGCTCTCCTGGTAGTCATGAATCACCTCAATCTGAAAACACAGGAGACGTATCAGTTACACATGAGGGGAAATGATACTATTCTTGATAAATGACGAATTCAAACAGGAAGTTTGAAAAAGACATAAAGTAGTAATGAACTTGCTTTTCTGGTGTTGGGGCTCTTTCGCGATGATTTCTTTCCAGGAAGTGTTATGTCAAATGTGAATTTTAWACCGTCACCTGTAAAATCACCACATATCATGCAAAACCCACTGTTTTAGTCACAGAATGCATCTTGTGTAATTGGAGTCTAAGAGTGCAGAAACTTTGAATTTAATTTATTCTAGTGCTGCGTAGATGTGCTGGAAGGGGGCGGGGCGTGAAGCTCCTCGATTGGATTTAAAGAGACAGCCTCAAAACGAGTTGATCTGAGACACACTCCAAAAAAGGGGTGAAAGAGGGGCTTGTGCAGTTACAATAAAGAGGAATTCAGACCAAAGTATTGCAGTTCCACTTTATATAGACCCTCATCTGAATTATTTAAATGTGAAAAAGAAAGCTTTAAAAACATGAAGTCTCCTTTAAAGGAAATCACGTCTTTGTTTACGAGATCCAAACATTTAGTACATAACTGAAGATGGGCAAAAGCCCATTTAAGTTTTTCTAAGTTCTAATTTAATAAATGAAGAAACATTCAACAGGCAAAAAAACAAAAGATAAGTGGTAAAAAAAAAAGGACGTGCTTTAACAATGATTGTGTAGTTACACTTACGTTAAGCTATATCTTCATGTGAAGAAGGATTCTGTATTTTGCGTGTGTCATGTCATACCATGTTTTGGGGAGAAGAGTGGTGACTTGGAGCGTGGCTGGTTTTCAGGCCTGGGGGTCACCAGCTGCACTGGTCGCACATGTTTTTGAGCCAGCTTCCTTAAAGAAGCTTGTCGGCTCTGGATCATCTGCTGCACGGCTGCATGCTTCTCAAAGACTTTCCCAAAATGGGCCTAACAAAGAAGTGAAAGAAGGAGCAGAGAAAGAAAAGATGCAGAGACAATAAACACAATTATCTTTTAGTTTGATCAAAAAAGCTGCAGCATGACTAGCAGTGGAATAAATCAACATGTAATTTATATAAATAAAAAGAAGGCAGCTGACCTGTAGCTGAGGAGTGATAACAGCYTCATACTCCATAGCTAGAATCTCAGGACTTGAGCTCAGCATAGATGGTGTCCCCTCTAGAAATTTCTCAATATCCCTCAAAGCAGCCTGAGCCCCCTCTTTAGTCTGGGACTTATCTATAAGCTGATTGGCCAACATGTATGCGCCATCATCACACCAGATTTGGGCCTGAAGGCAAATAGAGCACGCGTGTGTCACGCAGAAACTTCGCACCACGTGTCTTTGTGTTTAAATAAACGAACACGTTACTGAATACCTGTCCGATACAAAGCAGCAGCTGGTGAGTTTGCAGCAGAAAAGCGTGTTTGGTTTTGAGGGCAGCAGAAAGAGTGTCGCAGCGGTGCCGCAGCTCGTTGCAGCGCTGCATGATGAGAGCCACGGCGTAGTGGTGACCCGCTGACAGCTGGTGTCCGTGAAGGATGATGATCTGGGCTCGAGACGTTACTTCCTGTTAGAGTCGACGAGTGTAAACACAGCAGTGAGGATGTTTTTATTGTTCACCATGTGGCACCTTTTATTATGTTTTGGAATTTACTGCTTAAAGCTGCTCATTTAAAATAAGTAGGTGCTTCTGAATGTATTTTGACCGAATTTCTTTAAATAAATACACGCAAATGTGGAGAAACTCTGTACAAATGATATAAGATGYTTTTAAGTAAAAACGGTTTTGAATAATTACGCTATACACTTAAAACGCTGTACTTTAATGTTTGAAAAATAGTCATTTTCTTGTGAGTTTGCTGTAAAGCCTCCAGACGTAAAGATGCTGACGATGTAAGTGGACCAACACCGACCTGTGCGTTCGATTCCAGACTGTCGAGACTTTTCAGAGCGTCTTCTGCTTCAGCCAGCGTGTTCACGTTTATGGACAATTCCTTCTCCCGACTCATGAGATGATCCAAACACAAGTCCATCTAAACAAGATTTATTATTTTAAAGGGATCCCTGATTAGTTGTAATATTAGACTTTACTTGATAAACATTTATTTTAGGTATAAAATAAAGACAGTAAAAATAC